TATCACAGCTCTCGTACCTAGCTAAGAATAGCGTTGGCTATTCAGTACCTGGGAAATTCCAGAGTTTATGAGGATGTTTGGTTCTCTGTGGCTGGTTCTCACTGAGCAGCCTCGTCATCCCAGCCCCTTCATTTTCTCACTACAGGATTGTCTTGTCCTTCCTTCCTTCCTTCCTTCCTTCCTTCCTTCCTTCCTTCCTTCCTTCCTTCCTTCCTTCCTTCCTTCTCCCTGATTTCCTTTTTTTTCCAGAAAGTTGTATTTATTTACTTATTTTTGTTTTATGTGCTATAGTGTTTTGCCTGCATGTGTAGTTTTGCACTGTATGCATAGAGGTCAGAAGAGGGTGTTGGATCCTCAGGAACTGGAGTTAAAAATGGCCTCTCCGTAATTGCTGGGACTCTAACTTGAGACCTCTGCAAGAGCAGCAAGTGCTCTTAAGTGCTGAGCCGTCTCTCCAGTCTCTGTTTTCCTTCTCTAAAACAATATAGAATTTAGAGTACCTATAATTGTACTGATATCCAATTGTATAGTATCCTGTATTATTTCATTTTACTGTTAATCAGAGCATTTTTCATATCTTTATTTTTTAATGAACTGATCAATTCACACATTTTTTGGATTAATATTTTATATGTATTTCTAGCAGATTTCTTACTACCTTCTGCTGATTCTCAGCTATTTTTTTTTAATCACAGTATTTTCTATCTGTGATGTTGGGCTAGCGGGCCAATGCTGTATGATACTTGTATTAAAGATTCTATGTATTAAAGAGTCTTTGATGTAATATCATCAGCTTAAAACTCAGCAAATGTGAGAGAAATAAAAAGATCAGCTCTTGTTGCGATATGTTGCTTTAAAGCTATCACCTGGTTCTGTGATTGTTTGGAAGTGTTCCTTGGATCCTTTAATCTGCCAAAAATGTCAAGCTCTGCAGATCCAAGACAGTGCCTCAGTTGTTTTACAGATACTTGATCACATTGCTTTATAGATAACACACATAGAAGAAAAGAGAGGGTAGGGCACAAGCGAAAACCGTGAATGCATTATTTAAGAGAAAGGTAAGGGTAATAATACAGGAAAACTGTAGATTTAGATGATCTTCAGGTTCATCCCATAGTTGCAGGGGATGAGAAAGACTGTGACCTTGTTGCTTGGATAGAATGGGTATGGATGAGGAGACAGGGGACCTTTTCTCCAGGCTTGGTGACAGATTAGGTATAAATTTCTTCTATTGATAGAAAATTTTCTAGGTACAAGGCCTAGACCCAGTCCTTCTTTACCTTTTTTTTTTTTTAAGCTGATCTGAGAGGTTTAGCCTGTGAGTTAAAGGGGGCCTATAGCAAATTCATGGCTCTGTATTTATTGTTAGGATGTTTTCTAGATTTTAATTAGAAATAGCTGAGAGTAATTAATGGAAAACAGTCCAGATTGCTTTACATAGATTATTGATTTTCAAAAACATCAGAAGTCCACAAAATTGATGGTACAGATATTTCTTTATTAAAGATCGTTTGACTAGAGACCTGTCTGCTCCTGACAGCTTCCTTTTCTAAGAAGAAATTGAGCATCTTTGGAGTTACTCCAGTAGTGGTGAGACAGCCTCTAGGCAAGTATTGCCTCTTTTCATCTACAGACAAAATGCTGTCCAGAAAAGGGACACACTTGCAGAATAGTCAACTGATAATCTCTGCCAAGACAGAGTGATTAGCTCTTAAAAATTCTGCATTACTAGGTCTGTCTGATGATCCTGGGCCAGAAGGCTGAAGATTGGATGTTCCAACGTTTTGAAATATAGGGACTGTCCGGGTGTTCAGTGGTCTCTACAAATTGGCTAAGTTTTAGAAGCCATGCTTTGTGCTTCTCATATCTTCAGTTAATTCAGTCATTCTGGATTTCTGACGGGGTTGAAGGCTTATAGTCTCATAGCCATCCCAGGCTATTTACATTGAGAGAACAGATTTGAGAGGATGGTTTTCAGATGGCATTCATTCTAAAGCCAGGATATAAGCCAGGTATAGAACTATAGTCTTTTAAGTTAGGATAGATGACATTGGTCTTTTTATTGACAATAATGTCAATTATTGGGTATTAGGTCTGTCTTGTACCTTACAATTACAAAATGGTAATAGTTACACTCAATTTATATCTGAGATAAAAGAGTCTTTTAATTGGACAGAAAGGTGGAAGTGTTATGGATAGCCCTGGTCTTGTAGTTTGATGCTAATTCTGCTTTCCCAGGAGGGAAGGGCTGCAGAGTGAGGAGTGAATCAGTACACAGGTGACTTCTTGTCAACCTTCTGCCCACCTTAATTTGTAAAATAAAGGCTAGAGATGGTGATTGAGCAGTAAAAGGCTAGGTGGAGCGAAAAATTTGGAGGAGAGGGTGAGAGAGGAAGAAGGGAAAGAGAAGGAAGGAGAGGAGAGACAGCAGCAGACATTTGTGTCTCTGGCAGTCTCAGGTAGTTATTCATATCAAGGTTAGGTAATTGGGTTAACAATTCTGATTGTCTGGGCATCTTGTGTATTGAGTATTTGCTAACTTAAAAATCCATTGGATAATCTTTAAGCATTAAGAGTCTTATTTCTACTGGGTCTGGGGTTTAGCCGAGTACTATGAGTGTGGAGGGGTTAGCACAGGGCCTATGTCTAGAACCATGGACGCCACAGAGCTGATTGGAGCAGCCATGCCAATGTCTCATGGGCCCTGGGCTGGCGCCACTGGCCAGCCAGTGCCACTCTTAGTGCAGGAACCATAGAGTGGGAACATGGTGGCCAGGCCAGGAGCTAGCCGAACCAGCTGCTTTTTCTAGTACCTCCCACTACAAGGGTAGCTATATAAAAATTAATCATTAAGTTGATTTTGTGGTACCTTTGACTGTAAAGTTATTTTGGGAGGCCTGTAATTCAGGACAGACACTGCAAAGAATAGCTAAATCACACTACTGACTTTGAGGCTAGAGAGTTTCCAGAGGGCCAGAGACTCAGGGGAGCCTTTCAGGACATGAGACAGAGGAAGAGCTGGAAGGACTGGGAGGGCTTTGCAGTGTTTGTGTACTTGTATAGTCCCTTTAGCTGGTAAGTTTATGAATGAAGACAAAAGATACAGGGTCTAGGAGGCCCAAGAGAGGAAGAGGGGTGAAGAGGCTATCCTGATGGAGTCTGCCTGCTACATAAAAAGATACGGAAAATGACATTTTATTTTCTGTCTGCAAATTTTTTCTTTCTTGGACAATGCTTTTGAATTGTTGAAATGCTATCTAAGGTTGTCTTAGGTAGAGTGTTACTGCTGTGAACAGACACCATGATCAAGGCAACTCTTATAAGGACAACATTTAATTGGTCATTGGCTTACAGGTTCAGTCCATTATCATCAAGGCAGGAACATGGCAGCATCCAAACATGCATTGTGCAGGAGTAGCTGAGAGTTTTACATCCTCATCTGAAGGCTGGTAGCAGAATACTGGCTTCCAGGCAGCTAGGATGAGGGTCTTAAAGCCCATACCCACAGTGATACACCTACTCCAGCAGGGCCATGCCTTCTAATTGTGCTACTCCCTGGGCTGAGCATATACAAGCCATCACAAAGGTAGTTTAGGTTGGTTTAAGAAGATCTTATCATTTCTTCTACTTAAAAAAACAAAGTGGATAAATTCTATTTTATAACAGAAATGTCTGCTGGTCATTAATAGCCCAAACTTTTCATTTATAGTCATCTTATCTTGACATTGTCTACCTGTATTTCACAATGGTTCTGTGGTTCTAAGTTTTATTTTCTTGAGACTAGGTATTTGTAGAATTTTAATTTACATGTATCAGTTAAACAGCATTTTTTTTTTAAAAATCACAACTCACTTCGTTATACACACACTATATGTTATAATGAAATCTACAGCTGGGTTTTTGTTGAAGTCAACAAAATGCTCTTTGAAAGGCCTTTTCCATTCAGCAATTAAATTTTTAAACCTTTGTATTTTTGGTATGTTTTTAGATAAATTCATGAACCATTTTGTTGGAGATAAAATAGTAACACTGTAAACATTTTTGCAGATGAACAAGAAGATGAGGATGCCATAGTCAACAGGATATCGTATGTATTCTAAAGTTTAATTGCTCTGTTTATAGTTTTGAAGTTAAGAGTCTGAAGGAAGTAACTGCCTAATGTACAATACTTATCATGTTCTCAACAAGCACACATGAATAAGTACACATGGTTAATTCAGAACTGATTGTCTTTTTTTGAAATATGCTTATTCAAGCTGAGTGTGGCACATATCTCTAATGGTAAGGGAGAAGTGGTATGATGAGTTCAAGGCTAGCCTCAGCTACATAGTAAGTAAGGTCAGCCTAGGCTATATGAGACCATATTTTCTTCCTCTGCTATGTGCTTATTTAAAAAATGGCATAGTTCATCTTGAGGAGATTTAATGAGGAACAGGGCATAAAGGAGGCACAGTTGTTTAAGAAAGACCCAGTATGGCACAGAAGGCCCAGTTTGTAGTCTCAGCATTCTAGAGGTCGAAGCAGAAGGCTTGAGAGTTTGAGGACCGCTTTGGCAACACAGAAAGAGCCTGAGAAAGAGGGAAAACAGTTGCGATGTACTGGCTGGTTTTGTGTGTCACCTTGACACAAGCTGGAGTTATCACAGAGAAAGGAGCCTCCCTTGAGGAAATGCCTCCATGAGATCCAGCTCTAAGGCATTTTCTCAGTTAGTGATCAAGGGTGGGAAGGCCCATTGTGGGTGGTGCCATCCCTGAGCTGGTAGTCTTGGGTTCTATAAGAAAGCAAGCTGAGCAAGCCAGGGGAAGCAAGCCAGTAAGTAACATCCCTCCATGGCCTCTGCATCAGCTCCTGATTCCCGCCCTGTGCAAGTTCCAGTCCTGACTTCCTTTGGTGATGAACAGCAATATAGAAGTGTAAGCTGAATAAACCCTTTCCTCCCCAACTTGCTTCTTGGTCATGATGTTTTGTGCAGGAATAGAACTCCTGACTGAGACACAAACTGTCAGCTGTTTGCAAACTCTCTGAACAGGGAGCAGAGACTTTCTGGTTAGTGATACATTTGCTCAATTGCCTTACAGGTTCCTTATTTGTGAGGGGAGATAGGATAGAAATGGACTTTAATTTTTGAAGTATCATACTGACTAGCAAACAGTTAAGTTCTTTCTATTAGATTTTGTTTACTGAAATGTGAAATCTGGGGCTGGAGATATGACTTAGTAGTTAAAAGCACTGGCTGCTCTTGCAGAGGATCTGGGTTTGGTTTCCACAACATGGTAGTTCACAACCACTCCAACTCCAGTTTCAGAGAATCTGGCAGGGTGTCAAGGTCTCCATGAGTGTGTCATTGTCACCATAGGTAAATAGAGCCGAAAGGAGGGCCTACCAGGAGTGCTGGGAGCTGAGTTGGGGAAGGAGGATGTCCAAGTGTCAGGACAGTTCAGTCCAGAATGGGAAGCTACCCAGACAAGGAGATATGTATCTGTATAGAGCTGGGATCAGTATGGGAGGAAATTGGTGCCTTGTAATGGTGGAGAGACTTGATTAAGGTCAATAGGAACCAAAAATTAAGTGGAAAAAAAAACAACAAAAATAACTATTGAGTTTTTGGTTTTCTGTTGGGGTGTGTTATTGTGAACAGCTAAGGGTAGTAGAACTGCTGTATAAAAGTGAGTGTGGTCATGTGTTTGCACATCCCTCTGCTTTGTCTGTGTAGTAGTTTGAATATGCTTGGCTCAGGGTGTGGCCTTGTTGTAGTAGGTGTGGCCTTGTTGGAGGAAGTGTGTCATTGTAGTATGGGCTTTAAGACCCTTGTCCTAGCTGCCTGGAAGTCAGTCTTCTCTTGTTTTCTTTTGGAACAATATGTAGAACTCTTAGCAACAACGCCTTCCATATTCCTACTATGGTGTCCCATTCAGCGCCACTTAAAGCATTCTATTGCTTTCCAAATCCAAAGTCCCCAAATCTGCATTTTCCAAACAAAAACATGATCAAGCCTATCACAGCAATACCCCAGTCCCTGGTACCAACTTAGTTAGGGTTTTATGGCTGTGAGCAGACACTGTGATCAAGGCACCTCTTATAAGGACAACATTTAATTGGGGCTGGCTTACAGGTTCAGAGGTTCAGTCCATTATCATCAAGGCAGGAGGATGGCAGCATCTAGGCAGGCACAATGCAGTAGGAGCTGAGAGTTCTACATCTTGTTCCAAAGGAGAAAAGGGGAAGACTGACTTCCAGGCAGCTGTTATACCTCCTAATAGTGCCATTCCCTGGGCCAAACATATTCAAATAACCATAGTCTATCTCCTGAGGATCTCTCTCAGTAGCAGGGACTCCATGTAATGCCCAGGAGGTGTTTAAATAGAATTTTCTACTAAGTCGAACCAGGACTCTTAAGGACTAATAGAAGGCTGGATAGGGAAAGGCCCAGGTTAATTTTAGGTTTTACTTGTACCGAATGTAAGAATGTAAGAATTATTGGATTATTTTAAAGGAAACAGTCCTTTAAGGGTTTCTTACTAAATTGGGGACAATTTAAACATCAAAATAAATAATTATTGTAATGGATTTGAAGCTCCTGCATTTAGTAGGACAATCTTGAGTCCATCCTGGATAGAACCCAGTAGATGAATAAATTGGAAATTTGACAAGAATAGGGTTCCCTTTTCGATTCAGTCTCATCATCCTATAAAGTACTAACTGAAAGTAAGAGTATCTTAAGAGTAGAACATCCTGGTAGTCAGTGTCTTGACCTGGGACCTTTTCCTGGGTCAGTAGAGAGACAGTAACCGCAAGTCACCTGTGGCCTGCTGAGAAAATCACAAGAGCTGCAGCTTGTGGTATTCCTGACATCAAACTACACTGGTCTTAAGACTGAATTCCTCATCCTCTCATTCAGCCTGCCTTCTGCAGATCACGAGACACCAATCTCTCACTTCATGCCCCCGGCCTCTCAGTTGCCTTTGCCTCCTCTCCAGCTCCTTGTCAGGAGCTGTGTTGTTCTACGTTCAGTCTGACTTGTCTGACCATTGTCACTGTGGTTTTCCTTGCTCATTGTATTTTCTTCAGTGCCTGGCACCTTTAATATATTATGCAGTTACCTAGTAAATATTTGATTGCTTATTGTCTGATGCTCTCAAAGCATCAAGTGATGCTTAGAAGCCCTGTGAAGGCTAAAGAGGATGTCTTATTTACTGTTCACACATGCCGAGTATAGTGCTGGCTCAGAATCAAGTGTTCGTAAGCATCTGTTTAGTGACTGAGCATCACCAAGCGACTCCCTGGATCAGTCTGTGCTGTGCACTGGCAGAAGCCCCTTGAGGTGGCTGCTTGTGGGTGATCCTGATGATAATACATTCCGATGCTCCCACTGGTTAGGAACTGGTGATCAGAGTGAGTGCTTGAGGGCTGAATTCACAAAGCATGCTTTTATTGGTTAGTCAGATAAAGACTGTGACAGTTACTTTTCTCATCACTGACAAAATACCAGTCAGGAGCAAATCACAAAAGTTTGTTTTTAAGCAGTCTCCCAGTCCACGGTGTTGGCAGTATACGTTAGTGTTTTGTAACTTGCAGATGGACCAGAAAGTGGAGCAAATGTACAAGCTGGATACAGAGGCGGATGAAACCTAGTGACCTATTTTTGCGAGCCAGGCTGTGCTTCATGGAAGCATAGCAATTTTCAAGTGGTGCCATAGGTAGTGGCTATGTTCTTAAAACATAAGCGTGTGGTGGCATTTCAGATTCAAACCAAACCACTTAGGATGATAGTCGGAACATTTCACAGAGTGCAGTTAGGAAGGAGGGAATGCTGGAGAAGCCATATGGAATTTCAAGAAGGAAGTGCTTATCCATGTGAAATACCCAAGGTCCAGCATTTGAGGTCCTGCTTCTTGTTTGTTACCTGGGAGTGTGTGGCAGGTTTGCTGAAGTAATTTAAGGTGGTCTTGCTGCATTTGTCACTACTCCGTGAAGCTACTTTACACTGTGACCTAGAGATTATGGCTTTTTGAGCTATTGGTGACATTTAGCATTCAAATAAAGTTTGCATATCCTTAAGGAGATGGTCACAAATGCCAGACAGTCAAGAAAATATTTTTGTTGTTTTACTACCATAATCACCAAAGGTACCATAGTCTGCAAAGATGATATTTTTACTACTCTAAGTTAGAAGATGACATTTCTGAAAGTTTTATGGTTGTACAAGCAATGCTGCTCTATAGTTTTTCAGCTCAGGGCCTTATTTTAAGGACCCTCTCTAGGCTGAAGGCCTCTTTGTGGGCAGCGGAAGTGGTTTCCTGCTCTCTGGGTAGATGTATCACAGTAGCAGAGTGTGGAGTAGAGGCTCCATGGCTGTTGAAAAGCAGCTTACAGTAATGATGACCACATACACTGGATTTTCTGGGCCTCGTGTGACTTGCTGATCTGTCCCTTTGTCTCATAAGTGAACTTTTGTCAGGTCATGGGTTACAGTATTGGATTTGGAAGTAATGTTTCCTGGTGTGTGGTCAGAGTATTATGGGAGCTAAGAGGAAAGACAAGCTGATTGTACTGAGAGGAAAAAGAAGGTAGGAATTGAGGCACACATGACAGGCAAGTGACATTTGAGATCTGTCTTGCTATTTAGACACTATTTTCCTTGTGCAGTGCTGTAGGGACACTGTAGAGTAAGACACTGTCTGTGGGCAGAGGCCTGGAACTCCTAAGATCCATTTGAGGGTTAGGAAGCAGGCGGGGGAGTAAATGTAAGATGAAATGTGTCCTGCTGAGGACCTAGGGTGTTGGGAGAGCTGTGCAGGACCTGGGATGGTGAGTATCTGGATTCGACCTTGGTTTTGATGTTGGAAGAGGTGATATTAATTAGGGTGATGGTCCTCTCTGGACTGGAGCTGGATATCCAGCCGAGCAGCTTTTGAAGACTTTTCCAGGACATGTGCTGTTCATTCTACTGGATCATTCATGATGCCTCTGTGTCTGAGCTGAATGTTGTTTGGCGTGTCCCGTTGATCTACATTGACTAGCTGGCCTTTAATGAACTGAACCCAGGACTTTGCAGGGTACTTGTGGCTGTGTAGGTATGCACTTCTGCCGTTAGCCACAGGATGGCATTAAATGCAGGGTTACTTGATTAAATGCATGGTAGAACATTCAGTGTGACTTAAATTTTTTCTTACATTCATTTTCACGTTCTTTCAATATTAACTTTAATATGATTGATACTCAAGTTTTATCTTTAATGCTAATTAAGTTTCCTTTTCCATTGCTGCTGTCTGTGCTGCCTGCCTGCCTTCTTTCTTCCTCCCCTCCCTCTTCCCTTCTCTTCTTCCTCCTCTCCCCTCCCCTCTTTTCTTTCTCTTTTCTCTTTCTTCCTTTCTCCTCCCATATCCCCTTTCTCTCTCTCCCCTCCCTCATCCTCCCCTCTTTTTCTTACTATGCTGTCATGGCTGGCCTGGCATTCCCTATGTAGACCAGACTGGCCTTGGACTCAACAGAAATCTTTAGCATTTACTTTTTAAAAAATTCTTTTCAAACTTAGGTATGTGTTACAAAAGAATTTACAACTTTTCAGAAATGTGTAACTGAGAAATGAAAGTCCTTCATGATTGTAGCCTCTGTCCTGTGGGTTGTTACAAATGATGATAGATTTTGAAATCACATATTTCCTGATAATATGTAAGCATTTCTTAGTGTGAATAGAGCGCCTACTTTGTATTTACTGTCAGTTTTTTTCAGTTTGTTTTGTTGACTTACTAAATAAATAAAGGTCCTTTTTATATATTGAAGCTGTATTATTTAAGAAGTATTGAAGTAGTGTTTGAAATATTGATTAGTATTGTTTACTACTTCTCTGCTGTTTACTACTGTAATTTAATCTTGTTTAATAAAATTATTAGGGGCTGGTGAGATGGCTCAGTGTGTCAAGTTACTTGCTGTGTGAGCTTGGAGACCTGAGTTCAATATTGGCATCTTGTGTAAAGGCAGAAGGAGGAAACAGACTCCACATAGTTGTCCTCTGACCTTAATGTATGCCATAGCACCCGACTCCACTGGCTTCACACACAGGCATGCACGCATGCACGCACACACGCATGTGTGTACCCACCAATCGTAATGATAATTTTTTTTTTTTTGGTTTTTTGAGACAGGGTTTTTCTGTGTAGCCCTGGCTGTCCTGGAACTCACTCTGTAGACCACGCTGGCGTCGAACTCAGAAATCCACCTGCCTCTGCCTCCCAAGTGCTGGGATTAAAGGCGTGCACCACCACTTTTTTTTTGGGGGGGAGGGGGTAATGATAATTCTTAAAACTGTTCAGCAGTCTCTTCAGTATATAGACCTTTTAGGGCCACTTTTTAGGGGTTTTGCCTGGTTGCACTTTCCAGATCTTACACATGCCATTTGTACCTCAGTTGCATATCTGTAGTGGGATTTTTAAAAAAAAAAAATTATTCCATGTGTTTACATCTCAAATGATATCCCACTTTCCAGTTACCCTCTCCACCAACCCCCTCTCCCCATCCCATGATATCCCACTTCCCGGTTTCCCCTTCACCATGCCCCCATCCCACATCTGTCCTCCCCCTCCCTTTTGCCTGTATGAGAGTGCTCCCCCACCCACCCACACTCTCCAGCCCCACTGTTTCAGCATCCTCCTACTCTGGGGCATCAAACCTCTTCGGGACCAAGGACCTCCCCTCTAATTGCTGTCAGGCAAGGTCATCCTCTGCTACCTATGTATCTGGAGCCAGAGATCCCTTTAGGTACACTCCTTGGTTGGTGTCTAGTCTCTGGGAGAACTGGGTGGTCAGGCCACCCTATGTTGTTCTTCCAGTGGGGTTGCAGTCCCCTTCTGCTCTCCAGTCCTGCCAGCTCCCCTACCAGGTTCCCTGAGTTCAGCTTGATGGTTGGCTGCAAGCATCTGCCTCTGCATTTGTCAGTTCCTGACCAGACCTCCCCAGGAACACTTGGTTCCCGTCTGCAAGCGCCTCTTGACCACAGCAACAGTGTTGGGTTTGGTGTCTGCAGACATGGTGTATCCTCAGGTGCGGCTGTTCCCCAGTTGGCCCTTCCTTCAGTCTCTGTTCCATTTTTTGTCTGGGATTCTTATGTAAGACAATGGCTGGTGTTTTCGTGTTCACTACTCTGCAGACCTGAGTAATGATGCCTCTTCTCTTTTGCAGGTTGTTTCTGAGCACCTTCACCCTAGCGGTTTCAGGTGGTGCTGTTTTGCTTTTACCCTTCTCAATCATCAGCAATGAGATCCTGCTTGCTTTTCCTCAAAACTACTATATTCAGTGGCTGAATGGCTCCTTGATCCATGGTTAGTATACATTATTTGAGGGTTTTTTTTTTTCTGCCGCTCTGTAAGTTACAGGATTTTCTTAGTTTCCTTCACAAGTTGTAACATCTTCCAGTAAACTATTGTCTTAGTGAGGGTTTCTTGCTGTGATAAGACATGATCAGAGCAACTTGTGGAGTAAAGGAGAAAGGGTTTATTTCAGCTTATATTTCCACATCATAGTCTCTGTGTCACTGAGGGAAGGCAGGGCAGGAGCCTGGAGGCAGGAGCTAATATAGAAGCCATGGAGGAGTTATGCTTACTGGCTTTCTTCTCAAGGCTGGCTCAGCCTGCTTTCTTATATATGTGAGTACCACTTGCTTAGGGGTATCACTGACTATATTAGACTGGGCCTACCCATGTCAATCACTAATCACAAAAATCCCCCACAGACTTGCTCATTTAATGGAGGAATTTTCTTAATTAAGAGTCCTTCTTCCCAGATATGTCTAGGTTGAGTCAAGTTGACAAAAAACTAACCAGTACAACTACTGAAGTCCTCAGTGAAGTCAGAAACCAGCTCTTCCTTATCATGCCTAATTGGCTATCATCCTTTACTTAACCAAGAGACAGTTTTTGTACTTACTGTAAGTTTTACACTGTGTGTGTGTGTGTGTGTGTGTGTGTGTGTGAGATGATTCAGTTAGCCATGTGGATGTGGTATGAAACAGTGTCTCGCTGTATCCTCAACTGGTCTGGAATTGACTGTGGAGGCCTTGAACTCATGCAGTTCTCAGCTTCAGCCTTTTGAGTGTGGGATTATAGACATGAGCCACTAGCCTGGGGATTTACTGTGATTTTGATTCATTTGAATGTTTTAGGAAAAGACTTTTTGGTTCCTCTGGTTATGTCAGAGGACTTTAGTTTCCACTGAAGATCAGACAGAGGAGAGGCTACAGTTGCTGTTTTGGTTTCTTAGTCATTTTAAAACATGATAGAATAAAACACATTGTCAAGTTAAGGTTTCAATGTGATTTAAAAAGTAATGATGGTAGTTGGGTATGGTGACACATACCTTTAATTCCTGTGCTGGAAGACAGAGGTATATAAATCTCTGAGTTCCAGGTCATCTAGAACTGCATGTAGAGACCATGTTTCAAAATTTAAAAATCAAAAATCAAAAACCAAACCAACCAACCAAACAAATCATGACAGTGTAGACCACAAGATCTCTCTTGAAATGATGTAGATCTACAGTGCAACCTGGGCTCATCTGTTTTCTGCCACACGTAGGCACTGTTGTCTGTCTCAGGTTACCGCTCTCTTTAGTAGCATAGATAGTAAAACACACCTTGCAGGCTTGCTTTTAGGAATGTATCTAATAGAGAATATCTGCTTCTTAACAGGCAGTTAGTAAATGATGGCTGTGTATGAATTTAGTTTGTGCGCACTGACTGTTCTCTTCTAGGGTAGTTCTTTAGGGGATCCGTTAGACTGGATTATGGCTTGTGGGCACATAGGTAGCTTTCTCATTACTATTCTTGTCCTTACCATTTCTATTAGTGTTGGGTTTTGTGGCTAGTGTTGTTAATTATATAGTTACTTACTGGTATTATTAGTATCAAGCTAATTTTATTATGTTTATATAATTTTATAGTTATATAGAAGGTTGGGTATATTGTTTATAAACACCAAAGGCAGGTAAAATTGGGACACCTCACTGAGATATTTTTGTATGGACACAAATCATTTCCCTTATCTCAATAAAGAGGTGTTTCATAATAGTTAATACAGTCTATGAAACAATATCTTGAAGACTAGTCAGTGACAAGTACTTACTATTTGTTTACATTTTACATACTAATCACCACTCCCTTCCTCCTCTCTTCCCAGTCCCAGCCTCCCAAATCCCTTCCCCCATCATTGCCCCTTGTCTTCTCCTCAGAGAGCTCCACCTTGGGTACCACCTCACCCTAGGGCATCTAGTCCTAGCAAGACTAGGCACATCTCCCACTGAGGTCCAGCCAGGCAGTCCAGGTAGGGGAAAGGGGAATCCAATGGCATGGTACAGAGACCAAGATAGCTCCTATTCCACTTGTTCGGGCCCCACATGAAGACCAAGTAGCACATTTGCTACAAATGTGTAGGGAGTCTAGGTCCAGTTCCTGCATTCTCCCTGGTTGGTAACCCAGGCACTGTGAGCCCCTATGGTCCCAGGTTAGTTGACTCTTTGGGTCTCTTTGTGGTGTCCTTGATGCCTCTGACTTCTATCCCCGACTCTTCCACAAGACTCCCTAGGCTCTGTCTGATGTTTAGCTCTAGGTTTCTGCATTTGCCTTCATCTGCTACTGGATGAAGCCTCTCCAGAGATAATTATGCTAGGTTCCTATCTCCAAGTATAGCAGAGTATCATTAATAGCGCCAGGGGTTGACTTTCTCACATGAGATGAGTCAAGTTGGGGCAGTCATTGGTTGGCTGTACCCCAAGTCTCTGCTCCATCTTTAATCCCTGTGTATCTTGTAGGTGAGACAAATTTTGGGTTGAAGATTTTGTGGGTGGGTTTATGTCCCTCTCCCTCTTCTGGAAATCCTGCCTGGCTACAGGAGGTAGCCACTTTAGTCTTTATATCCCCCTCTAGTAGAATCTCAGCTCGGGTCACACCCTTAGGCTCCCAGCTGTATACTTTCCTGTCCCAGGCCTCAGTCACCAGAGATGCCCCCCCAAGCTGATTTCCATTCTCAGTCCCAGCCCTCTCTCACCCCCCATACCTCATTGCCGTCCCCATTCCCCTCCTTTCCTTCTCTCTTACCCACTTCCCTTTTTCCATCTATCTCCTGTGACTACTTAGTTTTTCCTGCGTGAGATTCACATATCTTCCCTTGGGAGCTCCTTGTTACTCAGTTACTTTGGGTATATAGATTATAGAATGGTTGTCCTGCACTTTATGGCTAATGTCCACTTCTAAGCGAGTACATACCATATATGTCTTTCTGGTTATCTCATGTTTCATCCATTTGCCGGCAAAATTTGTGATGTCTTTGTTTTTAATAGCCGAATAGTATTCCATTATGTAGATGTACCACATTTTCTTTATCCATTCTTCTGTCGAGGGACATCTAGGTTGTTTCTAGTTTCTGGCTATTATGAATAAAGCTGGTATGAACATAGTTGAGCAAGCATCCCTGTGGTCTAGTGGGGACACTTTTTGAGTATATACCTAGAATAGTAGAATAGTTGAGTCTTGAGTTAGAGCTATTCCTAGTTTTCTGAGAAACCACCAAATTGATTTCCAAAGTGGTTGTACAAGTTTGCACTCACCAGCAATGGAGGAGTGTTTCCTTTACTCCACATCCTCATGAGCATGTGCTGTCACATGAATGTTTGATCTTAGCTATTCTTATGTGTATAAGAAGGAATCTCAGGATCATTTTGATTTGCATATCTGAAATGAATAAGGACATTGAATATTTTTTTAAGTGCTTCTATGCTATTCGAGATCCTTCTGTGGAGAATTCTCTGTTTAGCTCTGTACCCCATTTTTAAGTTGGGTTATTTGGATTGTTGGTATGTGATTTCTTGAGTTCTTTATAAATTTAGATATTATTCCTCTGATGGCTGTAGGGTTGGTAAAGATCTTTCCCAACCAGTAGGCTGATGTTTTGCCCTTTTGATGGTGGCCTTTGCCTTATAGAAGCTTTTCAGTTTCATGAGGTCGCATTTATCAATTGTTGATCTTAGAGCCTGAACCATTGATGTTCTGTTCAGGATATTGTCTCCTGTACCAATGAGTTCAGGATGATTTTGCAAACCAAATTTAAACAATATCTTTCCTCTAATCTAGACCTGTAGAAGATACTAGAAGGAAGGTAACTAGACCCAAGAAAACATTAGAAATTAATAATTTCACAGCAGAACCAAAAGAAGAGAAACACACACACCAGTAACATCAAAATAACAGGAACCAACAACCATTGGTCATTAATATCTCTCAACATGAATGGATTCAATTGACCAATAAAAAGACACAGGCTAGCAGTAGATATGTAAACAGGTTCTGTCATTCTGCTGCATACAAGAAACAGATCTCAGCAAAAAAAGATACATTACCTCTTTGTAAAGGGCTATGAAAAGGTTTTCCAAGCAAAAGGACCCAAGAAGCAAGCTGGTATAGCCATTTTAATATACAGTAAAATAGACTTTCAACCAATAGTAATAAGAAGAGATAGAGAAGAACACTTCATACTCATCAAAGGAAAAATCTCCCAAGATGACATCTCAATCTGAACATCTATGCCGCAGATGTAAAAGCACACACATTCGTAAGAGAAACATTACTAAAGCTTAAATCACACATTGAACACCACACATTAATAGTGGGAGACTTCAGCACCCCACTTTCACCAATGGACAGGTCTTCGGAGCAGAAACTAAACCAAGAAATAATGAAACTAATAGAAGTTATGGATCAAGTGGACCTAATAGATATCTATAGAACATTTTACCCAAACACAAAAGAATATCCTTTCTTCTCAGTACCTTGTGGAACCTTCTCCAAAATTGACCATGTACTCAGTCACAAAGCAAGGCTTAATAGATACAAGAAGATTGAAATAATCCCTTGCATTTTTATGAGATTGCCATGGATTAAAGCTGGACTTCATCAACAACAGAAACAACATGAAGCTTACAAACTCATGGAAACTGAACAACTCTCTCTACTCAATGACCACCGGGTCAAAGAAGAAATAAAGAAATCAGAGACTTTCAAAAATTCAATGAAAATAAAGGCATGACATACCTAAACTTATGGGACACAATGAAAGCAGTCCTAAGAGTTCATAGCACTAAATGCCTTCATAAAGAAATTGGACAGTTCTCATACTAATGATTTAAAAGTACACCTGAAAGCTCTAGGGAAAAAAAAAAGAAGCAAACACATTCAAGAGTAGATAATCAGGAAATAATCAAACTCAGGGCTGAAATAAATTCATTAGAAACAAAGAGAACAATAGAAAGAATCAATAAAACCAAGAGCTGGTTC